TCCATGCAATCTGTCATAAGGAAGAAGAAACAGAACTGCTTACAATTATCAGCTCTAAGGATTTATCTATCTATTTAAGTATTGATCTATCTTCTAACTCTCTAATTTATCTCTCTATCCACCTTCCTTTATCTATCTATCTATCTATCTATCTATATATCCACCTTCCTTTATCTATCTATCTATCTATCTATCCACCTTCCTCTATCTATCTATCTATCTATCTATCTATCTATCTATCTATCTATCTATCTATTATCTATCTCTCTCTCTCTCTCTCTCTCTCTTTTAACTCTTGATCTATCTATCTATCTATCTATCTATCTATCTATCTATCTATCTATTGAAGTATTGATCTATCTATCTATCTATCTATCCATTTATCTATCTATTCATCCATCCATCCATTATCTATCTATCTATTAATAAATGTTAACGTTTTGGTGCACTGCCTACTTCAGATTTTACTTTTTTATAGATTGCACCTGGACAATATCTCTACAAGCGTGTATATTATCTATCTATTTGTTTATCTATCTCTCTCTCTATAGATCTATCCATTACCTATCTATTGAAGTATCAATCTATCTATCTATCTATCTATCTATCCTTTATCAATCTATCTATCTATTCATTATCTATCTATCTATCTATCTATCTATCTATCCTTCTCTCTATCTATCTATCTATCTGTCATCTATCTATTTATCTATCTATCTATTCATTATCTATTTATCTATCTATCTATCTATTGAAGTATCGATCTATCTATTCATTATCTATCTATCTATCTATCTATCTATCTATCTATCTATCTATCTATTGAAGTATCGATCTATCTATTCATTATCTATCTATCTATCTATTGAAGTATCGATCTATCTATTCATTATCTATCTATCTATCTATCCATAATTTATCTATCTATTCATCCATCCATTATCTATCTATTTATGTATCTAGATTGCACCCTGGACAATATCTCTAAAAACGTGTATTGTCTGTCTGTCTGTCTGTCTGTCTATCTATCTATCTATATCTGATACTTCTGACAGCTGTGCCTTGCAAAACAACAAAATTGTTAAATATATTAACGCAAGTAAAAAACAATATCAGAACAACCTGTTACATAAAAAAGAACTTGAACCACTTGTGATGGGAATAAAAATTAAGTTTTCATTTTTCCCCTCTATCAAGATCTCAGGTCTTCAAAATGCTAAGATCAAAGTAAATATAAAATACATTTCATACAACACAAAACTGTTGAAAAACTCCTGAGACTTTTTTGGTGGGTAAAGGGGGGTAAACCACCTGACAGACTTCCCAGCTCTCCATACCTGCTGCTCCCATTATAAGAAATGAAGCAGGAGGAATGAGTCCCAGAGGCAGTGATTAGACTCAGTCCTCCAGCATCCCTTCAACACTAAAATATCAATATACACCGAAGTCAGTTCTGGGGAGATTGGTCCTTAGAAAAGACATAAATGAAATATTAAGCTGGACAGAGAGAGAAGTAGAAATAGATGGTATTGTGAACCTTAAAATAATGTTCCATAGCGAGAACTTCCCAGAGATCAGGAGATGGCACTTAATTTATCTATCTATCTATCTATCTATCTTAGGGATCCTTCTTTTATCTATCTACATATTTTTCTATCTATTGACTTCTCTCTCTTATCTTCTATCTATCTATCTATCTATCTATCTATCTATCTATCTATCTTTATCTATTGATCACTCTTTCTTTTCTATTAATCTCTGTCTTACCTTCAATCTGTGTATTGATCTCTCTATTTTCTATTGATCTCTGTCTATTTTCTATTTATCTATCCATCTGCCTGTCTTTTTATCTATCCCTGTCACTATTAGCACTCACTTAGTCTGTGTCTATCTATCTGTCAGGTAATGATTTTGGTTACCATTGGAGTGTGAATTGCGGAGTCCTCGGCTCTCTCCTCTCCAGTCTGTAGCAGCTCTAGTTACATCTCCGTCTTCCACACTAATAACTGGCCATCAGATCTCATAGCATTAACGATTTGTCCATATGGCTGTGTGTACACAAGCAGCCAATAATATCCCGCCGTGCCCCCATGGATGGCAGATCGCATCCTCGACACATTTTTACAGCTGCAGCCAGAGTCTGATTCACCAAATATAGAGAGTGAATGTGCTGGGGCAGCAATTGCGTGTATATAAAAGTAGTCAGGATACTGGGGGGCTCATCCTTCACTGCTCTGCATCTAGAGGTAAGACTGTGCCAGAGGAACCACCATGCTACTCAGACCACCAACCTCTATCCTGGATTATGACAGGACCTGGGGCCCCTTCCTACCAGGCTGCAACATTTTTATTTTTTACTTTTTTTTCTAAGAATTTACAATTGGCCAATTAATTGAGATGTAATAGTTTCATATTTGACTAGAATTCAGCTTAAAAAGTAAAAAATACTCTTTTTGAAAATTCAACTTGCTACATAAATTGGAAACATTTAACTTCCCAACCACAAACAACCTTTTCCTATGGCCTGAATTAGTTTTTTTTTTTTTTTTACAATGAGAGCCAATAGGAATTCTGCAGGGAGGAGGAGATTGGTGAAGAGCTTAACAGTCAGCATAGCAAACCACCAAGTGTCTGTCTTCCTCAACCCTCAGTAATGACTTGTCTGTCTGGGACACACAAGGGGGGGGGGGTGGGGGGTAGTCCTCACTGTAATTACTTTTATTATTGTGGATATCACCCAAGTTGGAGCAGGATTATTCAAGAAAATCTGTCTGATCCATTTATTTATCATTATTGGTTGGATTAAGACCTTTTCAAGACCTTTTATTTGCAGTGGACCATTACCAATTTGGCTTTTAATCACGATTGTTGTTTTTTTAGTTTTTTTGGATGACGTATGGGAGGAATATTATTGAAGCTCCAGATTTTTTTATAGAAACTTTTCAGGAAAGGAAGCCATACTATCAGACACCCAACTTTTACCTATAATGATGATATTTGTCCATATGTGATTCCTTCGTGTCATGTGACACCATTTTTATCCTGTATTTAATACAATGTGTTTCTTGTTCACAGCTTCATTTCCCTTCCAGAGTCATCATTTTTACATCTTAAAGGCATATTAGAGGTGAGAAGCCATCATGTTCTTATCTATGTAACATTTAGGTCTAGAACAGGGGTCTCCAAACTATGGCCTTCCAGGTGTTGAGGAACTGCAAGTCCCATGAGGCCTTGCAAGACTCTGTCAGCCACAGGCAAGACTCCCAGAGGCAGAGGCATGACGGGACTTGTAGTACTTCAACAGCCGTAGGGTCATAGTTTGGAAACCCCTGTTCTAGAAGGAGTGACCAAGCTATGCAGTTTTCTATCATTATACATTATTTATAAGGAGAGATTTTTTTTTTTAAATGTTCCATTTTACTTCTTGTTAGAATTTTGTTGTAAAATAACCTGTCCTATCTGTGACCTCCAAGCTAAGCGTGGCATCCCGTTATGGGAGGACGTGGACTATATTACACTTCTGTCCCACGTTAAACCCTAAACTCCACTGTGGGAGGAGACAGACTATATTACACATTCCATGCCTTCTTAAACAAGGGCACCCCATTATGGGAGGACGTAGACTATACTACGTGTTCCATCCCACATTAAACCTTGACACCCCACTGTGGGAGGATATGGACTACACTACTTGTTCCATCCAACGTTAACATTGGCACCCGCACCATGGGAGGACATGGACTATATTACATGTTCAATGCCTTGTTAAATCCTGGCAACCTACCATTAGAAGACATGAACTATATTATATGTTCCATGCCTTGTTAAACCTGGGCACCCCACCTTAGGGGGATGTGGCCTACATTGCATGTTCCATCCCACATTAAAGCCTTGCAACCCACCGTAGGAGTAATATTACACGCTCCCTCCCTTGTTTAACCCTGGCACCGTTCCGTGGGAGGATGGGGACTATATTACATGACCCATCCCATGTTAAAGAACACCACCGTGATGTTGGAGGACATGGATCATATCACATGTTCCATCCCTTGTGAAACCCTGGCATCCTATTGTGGGAGGATGGGAGCTATATAACATGTTCCATCCTTTTTTAAACCCCGGAACCCTGCTGTGGGAAGACGTGGAGCATATTACATGTTTTAGCGCTTGTTATGTGCAGGTTTCCAGATTTTAAATCTAGCTAATTAATGATAATTATTTTACCCCCATCTATATATCAAGACGTTTCTAATGTGTGTATGATAAATGCACAGTCACAGATAGCGATATAATGTAAAGTATATTTAAGGCCAAAATGCTTTTAGCAGTTTTGGGTGGAGGTATAAAGGGTTACAAACCCTGTTACTTTTTTGTAGCCCTCTGTGGGCCATTATGGGGATTTACTTCCAAAGTAAGGGTGAATCTTCCTAGCAGGGAAACAAACAGAGGTTAGGAGTGGACAAATTACAAGCAGAACCAGTATACTAATCACTGTATTATCTCTCACACTCCAGCAAGAAATCAGCATTGCTGAAATATGCCTTAAGCCAGTCTTAGATGATGCAATTTTCTTTCCTGCAACCATGGAGAACCCAGTAATTATTGCTAGTGGCTATAGCCACTGGCAATAATCACATCCTAAAAATCCAACATGCTGGTTATACCCAAATTGATAAATAGATCAACTTGGTATAATCAGCCTGTCCATTCATGGTTTGACTCTTGGTCAGTTTAGCAGGAACCGTCTATGGCCAGCTTTACTTTTTTGCTTTAGCAGATCTTAGGCTGCCAACCAACGGAAGGTAGCTTCAAAGTTGCAGATAATAACAAAGAGGCTACTGCTGTATAGTTGTCCCACACCTTACAGATGTGGTAGTTTTGGCTATTTGACACACACCTAGAATTCTTCTCTAAGTATAGGGACACTGAAAATGTTAAATAATACCAACATTTCAGAAAATGCTGATATTTGTTTTTTTTTCCATAGAAAACCATCAGCCATGGGTGATGGTGAGATGGCCGTATTTGGGGTCGCAGCCCCTTTCCTCCGCAAATCTGAAAAGGAGAGGATTGAGGCCCAAAATCGGCCCTTTGATGCTAAAACCTCCTACTTTGTAATCGACCAAAAAGTGATGTACGTGAAAGGCACCATCCAGTCCAGAGATGGGGGAAAAGTCAACGTAAAGAAAGAAGACCAGTCCGTAAGTTGGTGAAAGCAAAATATCATCTCCATTATAATACATGTTTATAATAACTACACTCGGTGATGTTTTCTTCCTACATGCCTTTATGTAGACCGTAACAGTGAAGGACGATGAAGTTTTCCCCATGAACCCTCCAAAGTACGACAAGATTGAAGATATGGCCATGATGACTCACCTAAATGAGCCCGCTGTGTTGTATAACCTCAAAGAGCGTTATGCAGCCTGGATGATCTACGTAAGTGGGATATATTACATGACAGAGAAATATCTCAAACTACACAAAATACTACTGTATATACTGGGCCAAAAACACATATGGTGGCTCTGGCTGCCAGTAGACAAGTGTTACAGTATGGAGTAAGCAGCGTTGAAAAAAAAAAGATAAAAGACTATCATCTCCTCGTCCTATTTTAAAACTTTTTGCCCACACCAAAGAGGCAATTGGTCAATCATTCTCAGCCTTGAGATAAAATAATTATTGTGAAAGAGATGCTAGTAATAGTCACTGTCAACTGGACTTCTGGTTCTGCAATGTTGAAAATGCTTCACTACTCATCTGATTAGCTTTGTTGGTTCTAATAAGTGTCATGGACATTAGATGTATACAGGGGTGGACTGACCATTTGGAAACTCAGGCACTGCCCAAGGGCCCGGGGTCAGTAGGGGGCCCCATGAGATGCCCCTGGTACCTTTTTCATAGGCTTTTTTGAGTTTGGGCAAGGACACAGGGGCCCCATGATCCCCTATTGCCCGGGGGCCCCATGAGTTGTCAGTTCGCCCCTGGATGTATATCTACGCGGGAAACTCAGTCACCTTCAACCAGATACCAAGGAACGTGTCAAGGCAGATGTTGGTTGTCCAAGAACAAGACTTGGACAAATGTTGAGGTTCCTACCAATCATTTGAACTGGAGAAGCTGCTTAGATCATTATATTCAACAATGCAGAACAAGTCCAGCTAAATGTGACAAAACTACTAGCTATAAAAATGAATGTTGGGATAACAGCGCACATTACCAGATGGGTCTTTAAACACATGTAACGGGAGCACACCCAAAGGCACGATAAAATCTGCTAATTGTAAAATAGTTGTGGTGTCTGGATTTAGCTTTTCTCTTCCATAATTACATTTTTAGGTAGGTGTGACATGTCTGCCATGTCCAGCCTCAGCTGGATTTGTTCAAAGAAAGTGGAACAATCCCCAGGGGTAGATATGGCCAGTTTTGAGGCAGATGAGAAGAATAATCCTTTCACATCTCCCAAAAGTAGTCAGATCATCTCCCTAGATTTGACTATTCCCAAGCAGTTCAATACGAATTATAACTATAGATGTTAGTTGTTAGACATGCCCTGTCTGTCCAAATATTCCATTGCTGATTTGCAAATATTTCTGCACTTGAGAGTGTCTGATGCTGATGCTCTGACCAGGGGTGGACTGATTATTTGGAAACTCAGGCACTGCCCAAAGGCCCAGGGTCAGTAGGGGGCCCCATGAGATGCCCCTGGTACCTTTTTCATAGGCTTTTTTGAGTTTGGGCAAGGACACAGGGGCCCCATGATCCCCTATTGCCCGGGGGCCCCATGAGTTGTCAGTCTGCCCCTGGCTATGACTATAAAGAATCTTTATTGTCCTTTGCTAACCATATCTAATATATTTCCTCCACTTGTCGCTTGCCATACAGACCTACTCCGGCCTCTTCTGTGTCACTGTCAACCCCTACAAGTGGCTCCCTGTGTACAACCCAGAGGTGGTTGCTGGATACAGAGGGAAGAAGCGTCAAGAGGCTCCACCACACATCTTCTCCATCTCTGATAATGCCTATCAGTTCATGTTGACTGGTGAGTTACATCAAATATCGACCAATGGAAACAAAATGTTGCCTTCTGTCTGCTGCTTAGTACATCCAGTTCTGTCAATGAGTTACTTTTTTGTGGGCTTTTCAGCAAAGCATACCATCAGTCATGTGACAGATTCATTAGAACTGTGTTATGCCCTAAAAATATGGCTAAAAATCACAAAGTAGGTGACAAGCATAAATAAATTGGCTGAGCTGCATTAATACTGTCCTCTTAAGGGTAGAGGGATTAACAAGCTGTTGGGGGATTATGTCTAATGCTAAGTATATTCTTCCACCCGCAGATCGTGAGAACCAGTCCATCCTGATCACGTGAGTTCACTTTCTTATTTCTGCACCATTAGTGACATCTGCATCACTTGGCCATTGGGTCATTATTACAAATGAGAGTGAAACGGGGATAAAGTCCTCAGACTATATACAGTAGGGCATCCTCAACCCATATACTATAGGGGGTCCTCAGCCCATGGTGGAGATGGTATAACATAGACTCTTCCTTGACTCTACTGCTGTATCACATAGATACAAGACATAGGTTTTTTGACATGCTTTACATAGATAAAGTGTGTCTAAGGTCCGAATGATGCTACAGTAAAGCTCCTATGTGTTTCCTTCTTGGGCGGCAAGAGCTACAGCTCATGGAGGGGGGAAGACAGTTCCATCACAAGAAGTAAAAACACAAGAGTAATAATGATTATTATATTTTATTCAGATCACCTCTTATCCTGAGAAATAAAGCACAGAGAAGAAGAATTAATGTAATATGGCAACATGGGGTCTAATTTTTTGTTGAGGAGTTGGCTTATAATGAATTCTGCACCATGGTTCAGATGACCCTCACTACAGCGTAGGGTGCTACCATTCTGAATGGGTTTCCTGCATCTCAGCGATCAGACCTGGGAACAAGGAAGTAGGGCAATTATGGGAACAAGGGAAAGAGGATTATGGGAATTCAGACTCTGGGGTTGATTTATGCAGGCAAATAGACTATGCACTTTGGAAGTGCAGTTGCTCCAGAGCTTAGTGAGTGAGGAGAAACTTTGCTGACTTCCATCATTCCATTACTTTTTTTTTCTATTTTTCTTGCATGTGATTGGGTATACTTTGCAAAGTGAAGCTTCACCTCATTTACTAAGCTCTGCAGCAACCGCACTTTAGCAAATCCACCCTAAAATGTTGGAGTCAATGCTCATTGAGCAGTGAAGAGAAATTATTACTTAGGTAATGACAGGAAATGTCAGATAATGCAGACTGTAAGTACAAAATCTAACGGTACATTAGACAATTGTCTGACATTAAATGATTGCTCCTCCTCTCTGCCCAGTTTGGATGCCCTAAATTCAATGCTGGGTCTATTCCAAAAGGAATCTCAAATCTGACAGGTCCCCTTAAAAACTGAGATTCAGTGATTATTGCATCTTGTATCCCCCAGTGGAGAATCTGGTGCTGGGAAGACTGTCAACACGAAACGTGTCATCCAGTACTTTGCCACAATTGCAGCCATCGGAGACAAAAAAGCCAAAGAGGCTGCGGCGGGAAAGATACAGGTGAGCCGCCAGTGGAAGGTCATGGTTAACCCAACACCAGGAAGAAGAAATACTCACTTACACCTGTATGTTTTATTCCACCAATACTAGGGAACTCTGGAGGATCAAATCATCCAGGCCAACCCTCTGCTGGAGGCCTTCGGCAATGCCAAGACAGTCAGAAATGACAACTCCTCCCGTTTTGTAAGTTGGATCAAATGACAGGGGTTTAAGTTGCAGTATCCAGATGTCTGTGCCCCTGTCTGTACTTGAATTTTTTTTTTTTTAATTCTCTTTATAACTTATATAAGTAGAGAATACAAAACAAAGCCTATTGGGCATACCCAGGCTTGATCAAGTCACAAAATAGCACAAACAAAACAAAAAATAAACATAACGAATAAGGTAGGGTTAAAAACAACAAACAGACGACAACCACACTAAATGATATCACAGGGCTTAAATATGGCAAAAAACAATTCCCACATTAGGAAGACCACTGGAGATCCCACACCGAGCAAAAAACCTGCGACAAGAGATAGAAAATCCATACCTCAATCCTGATCAGAACTGGAAGGGACCGATTCTCAAGAACCAATCCAAATATGCCACACCTTAGTAAATTTAGTGGGGCACCCCCTAGATTCATAAGTGTATTTATATAGTAGGAGGACTGTATTAACCAAATGTTTCCAGAAACTGGATGTGGGGGCATGAGGGGACTTCTACTTCTACTTTACGAGCATAAAAAATCAAGAAACCAATCAAGGTTCTCATGGCGTGAGAGATAGCCAAGGCCTGAACCAAAGTACTTGAATTATTTAAAAAAGTATGTTCACAAACTTTATCGCTAATGCTTCTTATTTGATGTACAGGGTAAATTCATCAGAATCCACTTTGGGACTACAGGAAAGCTGTCTTCTGCTGATATTGAAACATGTAAGTAAAATGTCTTAAAGGAAAACTAAGGCCCAACTTTCCTCCTGCCCTTATGGCACCACACAGGCTTGTTTCTATAAAAGCATAATACCCTCATATAGATCATAATTGTGGCTGGTGCAGGGGATTTCTATGCTGGATAAAGGCGTATATCACTTCTCTGTGCAAAGTCTAGTATACGCACTGACCTCAGCTTTGTGACTCTGACCATATGGTTGTGCCCAACCTACAATGATGTCTACATGCTCATGAATACAATAAAAGATCATATGGTTCATCTCCTAGAGAATACACATAGTGCTAGCCCAACAGATGGATTAGTCTGATTAAGGCCTGTTTCACACAGGCTTCAGCTTGTATAAGAACAGTGTGCACAGAAAGCTTTTATGAAACATTCAGCAAACTTTTGGCAAGCTTTGAGTAGCTTTCTTTAAGCATTTAAAGCACTCTTCAGCTCTGATTTGGGAATGTTATACACAGATCCTAATGAGAGTGCTGATTGTCACTTTAAATAAGCTGCTAGCTGGTTTTCAACAAGCTACATGTTGTGCTGAAGCCTGCTAGCAGCTTGTTCAAACTGGCAATCATCACTCCCATTAGGATCTGTGTTCAATATTTACAAAATGGAGCTGAAGGGTGCCTTAACCACTTCCAGTCCGGACACTTTTACCCCCTTCCTGACCAGGGCAATTTTCAACTTTCAGCGCTATCACACATTGAATGACAATTGCGCGGTCATGCAACAATGTACCCAAATGAATTTTTTACCATTTTTTTGACACAGATAAAGCTTTATTTTGGTGGTATTTATTCACTGCTGGAATTTTTATTTTTTTTGCTATGTAAATGAAAAAGTCCAAAAATTTTGAAAAAAAGTGTTTTTTTATAAAATTTTGCAAATAAATAATATTTCATCATAAATCTTTGCCAAAATTTATTCCGTTCTCTTTTTAGTAAAAAAAAATCCTAATTAGTTTATAACCAAAAATTATAATTTTTAAACATTTTTTTTACATTTTTATTTAATTTTTTTATATTATTATTTTTTATTATTTTTTTTTTTTTTACATACTGTCACCCTAGCAGTACAGTGTCACCATGGTGACACTGTACTACTTGTGGGGGGTGATGAAGATTTTTGTTTTTTTTTTTTACACTGATTGCTTTTACACCCATATAGGATGTAAAAGCAATCATTTCTCTTTCTCTCTGTCTGCATTCTTGCACTCATTGAGAAGTACTGAGTGAGCTGTGATTGGTCACAGCTTGTCACATGGTACAAGGCTGTTGTGAATAGCCTTGTACCATGTGACCTCTGTGATCATTCACAGATTTCACACGTAGTAAAGCAATGATGTCACAAGTGACATCTTGCTTACTACTTTGCATGTGATCACTGATTGGCCAATCAGTGAACACATGATTGGGACCTCGTACAGAGGTCCCGTCCGACGATTGGTGTTCCACTGTGTCCGGAGGACACAGCGGGCACCGGATCGCGGTGCTGCGTTCTCCCAGGGAGCGCGCACAAGCAGGGTGCGGGCAGGGCGTTTATAAACGGCCACCCGACCCTGCACTGCCGCCGTCCGGCCGTTTATATGCAACGGCCGGTCGGGAAGTGGTTAAAAAGCTTCAATAAAGCTGGCTGAAAGCTCCGCAAATACTTTGTAAAAGCTTACTGTTCACATTGCTCTTATACAAGCTGAAGCCTGTGTGAAACAGGTGGAGCTGAATGGCACCTGTATAGTAAAGCCTGCAGCAAACTCCTTGTGTCAGGATGTCACTCATTAAAGTGGAACTAAACTGTGTCCTAGCACTCCAAACTGAAAATGCTATTTAACTAGTTTTTAATATGCACATCATATTTACCCATCCATCTATGTCTCCATGCTTTATTTTGCTGAGAAACCACTTTAAAAAATACTCTCTAGCATTTCTAGCTGTGGCCATCTTGAGTAAGGGCAGATGTTTCTTGTAGCATTTATTTCCTGGAATACATCTGCGCTTATCTCAGGCATGCAGGCAGGAGGGTGTGCTTAGTTGTGAAAGCCCCTCCTTACCTCCTCCAGATGAAAGAAAATAGTGCCCATGAAGACTCTTGAAATTCCCACATGGAAGAAAAATATATTTTAAAAATATTCTTTGCAAATATATTGACATATATTTGAAATACTACAATTGTGGCCGCATTCAATATATTTCAATATATATATATATATACAATGTATGTTGAAATGCATTTTTATGACAGAATATATGAAAAATAATTTTTAAAAATACATTTTCAAATATGCTGTGTGCCTTTAAAAATACATTTAATCTACATTTTTCCAAAAATGCATTTAAAAATATATGTAAAAAATATATGTTAAAATTACTTTTTTATATGGTAAAACAAATCTGAAGAATATATTTTAAAAAATATATTTAAAAAATATTTTTCATATATTTTGTAAAATATAAAATACTCATTTCAACATGCAGTATGTATATATATATATTTGGGAAGAATATTTTTAAACTATATTTCAAATATATTTTTCTTCCATGTGGGTTATGACATTCTTCATCAGAAACCAGGAAGCAATTGAAGAAAAAAAAAAAGTTACAACCTTAAACACACACACATATGTATATATTAAGGCTAGTTGCATAAGGATTACAAATTGTGTTGATTGAGAGAATTTAGTTCTACTTTTAATATTAAGGAGCTGTAGAGAGACCTTTTTAATTCTCTACCAGTGTTAATTTATTATGTCTAATTGTCGTTAAACTGCACCAAACACTAAAAAAAAATGCAGCCAGCTTTCCCCCCATGTATGTTATAAATTATCGCTTATCCTAGATCTTCTGGAAAAATCCAGAGTAACATTCCAGTTGTCTGCTGAGAGGAGCTACCACATCTTCTACCAGATCATGTCCAACAAAAGGCCAGAACTGATTGGTAAGTGATGCTGAGGAAGATGTGTTTATCAACCTCTTTATGTAAAAACATTAAAGTCCATCAAATAAAAATCCATTTCTCACTCCTGCTGCTACTTTTTCCATAACATAAGAACCCAATAAGGAGAGGGATTGTATTGTCTAAAGCAGCTTGGCAGATCTAGAAACCCAATTGCAAAGATTTCAATGCAACCAACTCTGAGAAAATGTGTAATGCAACCCAAAGTGGTATATGAATTTTGGAAGGACTGGCCTTATGTAAACAGTTAAAGTGACAGATCAGATCTTGCTAGTAGGAAAAATATAGTTAATGAATAGTTTACAAGTGTAAGAAAGAGATGGAGAGATATATAAATAATATAAGGATCTATAAAAATAAGCAGTAGAAAATTTTAGCAAGAAATAGAAAAATTGTTACTGAATTGGGTGACTTGTGTTCTGGGATGTAAATCTCAGGGCTGGTTAGTTAAAATGACCATAATATCTGCAACACAAAACATGCATTCCTTCATTCTTCTAGAAATGCTTCTGATCACCACCAACCCCTATGACTTCCCCTATGTCAGCCAAGGTGAGATCACCGTGGCCAGCATCGATGACCAAGAAGAATTAATGGCCACCGATGTAAGTGGACTCACTCCCTGGAACATTAAACTTACAACACATCAATTTACCTAATGTGGTGTATATATGAATGCATTACAATCAGAGAAAAGTTTAATTTGATGAGTTTATGTTCAACAGAGTGCTATTGACATCCTTGGCTTCAACCCAGACGAGAAGATCGGTATCTACAAAATGACCGGTGCTGTCATGCACTATGGAAACATGAAATTCAAACAGAAGCAAAGAGAGGAGCAGGCTGAGCCTGATGGCACGGAAGGTGAGGCAGATATGGCCATGAGCACTTGATGTTCTTCTTGTTATCATAGAGTCTTCTGCTTTAACCTCCTTAGCAGTATTCCCGAGTGTAGCTCGGGGTAAAATTTCAATACCAAGAGCGGTAACCCCGAGCTACACTCGGGCTTACCATGCGGCGTTGCTCAGGGGGTCCCTGCAGCACTTACCTTGTCCTTCGCTCCAGCGATGTGTCCCCTGCAGCGTCCCCGGCCATCTCCTCCAGCCGATGCTGGCATCCGGCTTCCGTGTTCCGGTCCCTGTGACGTCGGGACGTACAGGCGCCGGAACCGGCGGGAAATTTGAAATTTTTAAAAAATTTCATTTTTGCTCTCATAGCTGTTTCCATGCATTTCACATATATTTTGTCCCTACTGCTTTGTCCTGTGCCCTGCCTGCATTTTGACTGTTCTTTCTGCCTGGAAACTTAGAAAAGTCCATGGCGTCCAAAAAGCGTCCCTTTACGTCAAAAGCGGTTTTAGAACAGTGATAGTAAATCGGAACCACTTGCAGAATTGAGTGATAATGATTCGTGGGGGAAATTCGTCATCAGACACTGAAAACGATTTTGCGACTTTGGTCAGCGATGTGCAAATTTGCCTCAGTATTTCAAATTTCATTGTTTTTGGTTTGATTATAACATTGAATTAAATTTATTATTATATTATTATTTTTTATGATTATTTATTAAATTATAATTTATGATTACGTGTTTCAAGTTTTATCATACCCGGGATGTTTACTAGACTCTTGTTCGGACAGATTTCAGTGAGTTATTCCTAAAAATTACAGGCCTACAATAAAAAACTACATATTTCCATGCAAAAAAATGGTACCGCTTTCAGCACAAAAAAATCGGAAAGAATCATACCGCCGAGGAGGTTAAAAGCAAAAAGGGGCAGATATTAAACTTATTACTGTTTCACAGTGGCTGACAAGGCTGCCTACCTGATGGGCCTGAATTCAGCTGATCTTCTGAAGGCTTTGTGTTACCCCAGGGTTAAAGTCGGAAATGAATTTGTCACCAAAGGTCAAACTGTCCAGCAGGTACATACATTTTTGTGCTATTTTTATATTTGTAGGACACAGTTTAGAGCATATAAACTTGCAACTTTGTTCTTTTCAAGGTGTACAACTCTGTCGGTGCCCTGGGCAAGTCTGTCTATGAGAAAATGTTCTTGTGGATGGTCATCCGCATCAACCAGCAGCTGGACACAAAACAGCCAAGACAGCACTTTATTGGCGTCTTGGATATTGCTGGCTTTGAGATCTTTGATGTAAGTAGCATGACATAGTACGTGAATGTCCCGCCATATTTTATATGGAAAAGTGTAATTTAGTAAATTGTCTTTTTTTAGTACAACAGCTTGGAGCAGCTTTGTATTAACTTCACCAATGAGAAACTGCAACAGTTCTTTAACCACCACATGTTTGTGCTGGAACAAGAGGAGTACAAGAAGGAAGGCATTGACTGGGAGTTCATTGACTTCGGCATGGACTTGGCTGCCTGCATTGAGCTTATTGAGAAGGTATGCTTGCTACTTTTTATCACCCAGTTTTAACACATTTTACAAGTACAAACTGAGAGCCTAGCAATACACCAAAATGTTACTGCTTTTCTGTGATTAGCCAATGGGCATCTTCTCCATTCTGGAAGAAGAGTGCATGTTCCCCAAGGCAACAGACACGTCCTTCAAGAACAAGCTGTACGACCAACATCTGGGGAAGTCTAACAACTTCCAGAAACCTAAACCAGCCAAAGGCAAAGCTGAGGCTCACTTCTCCTTGGTCCACTATGCTGGAACTGTGGATTACAATATCAGTGGCTGGCTGGACAAGAACAAGGACCCACTGAATGAGACTGTCATTGGCCTCTACCAGAAGTCATCAGTGAAACTCTTGTCCTTCCTGTATTCTGCCTATTCTGGTTCTGAAGGAGGTAATACATTCTGTAATCTGTGTTCTGTCTTCCATGCCTAAAGCATTTCCTTGCTACACTTCCAGTATATTAAGTGATTTATATATTTTTTTATAAAAGACGTGCATCGATTCAGTCTCTCTTGCACTCAAAGGAACTTACCTTCCATTGTTCCCATCACAATCCTAAAGACATTCACACATAGTACTAAACTATACCTTACGATTTGCATTAGTATTAGGGATGAAAGACCCATGTGGGAAGAAAATATTCTCAAAATTAGGAGCTGAGTCTACACCAGGGGTGGGCAAACTTTTTGACTTGAGGGCCGCAATGGGTTCATATATCGGACCCGGGGGCCGGACCAAGAGTAGATGAATGATGTGTATGTGTCATCCATAGTAAGTATAGTAATAATCCCCCATATAGTAATTCATCCCCCATAGTAATTCATCCCCCATATAGTAATTCATCCCCCATATAGTAATTCATCCCCCATAGTAATTCATCCCCCATAGTAATTCATCCCCCATATAGTAATTCATCCCCCATAGTAATTCATCCCCCATATAGTAATTCATCCCCCATAGCAATTCATCCCCCATATAGTTATTCATCCCCCATAAAGTAATTCATCCCCCATAGTAATTCATCCCCCATAGTAATTCATCCCCCATATAGTAATTTATCCCCCATATAGTAATTCATCCCCCATAGTAATTCATCCCCCATATAGTAATTCATCCCCCATATAGTAATTCATCCCCCATATAGTAATTCATCCCCCATAGTAATTCATCCCCCATAGTAATTCATCCCCCATATAGTAATTCATCCCCCATATAGTAATTCATCCCCCATAGTAATTCATCCCCCATATAGTAATTCATCCCCAATATAGTAATTCATCCCCCATAGTAATTCATCCCCCATATAGTAATTCATCCCCCATAGTAATTTATCCCCCATATAGTAATTCATCCCCCATAGTAATTCATCCCCCATAGTAATTCATCCCCCATATAGTAATTCATCCCACATATAGTAATTCATCCCCCCTATAGTAATTCATCCACCATATAGTAATTTATCCCCCATTCATCATCCCCCATATAGTAATTCATCCCCCATAGTAATTCATCCCCCATATAGTAATTCATCCCCCATATAGTAATTCATCCCCCCATTGTAATTCATCCCCCCTATAGTAATTCATTCCCCAAATTCCCCTGTGTCAATTTACTTACCTTTGCTCCGCGCGTTCCTCTTGCCGTGTTCCCGCGCCGTTCCGGTCTTCAGGGCAGACTGTGAGAGGAGCCTAGCTCCCCTCACGTTTGTCACGCTGCCCCGCCTACACACATCCTGACAGCCAATGTATCACGCTCCGCGGGCCGGATTAAAAGGTCCGCCGGGCCATATACGGCCCGCGGGCCGTAGTTTGCCCATTGCTGGTCTACACCCATATCACCAGCAACATTAATCCTTCCACACATGTCCTAACATGATATTCCTCCTGTTGCAGACTCTGGTGGCAAGAAGGGTGCTAAGAAGAAGGGTTCATCTTTCCAGACTGTGTCTGCTCTCTTCAGGGTATGTGACATTTTATATTGGATACACGGAACATGGATATTCCTCATTTCTGCTGTACATTTTCTAATATATATAATTATTTTCTGGCTACAGGAGAATCTGAACAAACTGATGACAAACTTGAGGAGCACTCACCCTCACTTTGTGCGTTGCTTGATCCCCAATGAAACCAAGACCCCAGGTTAGCGCTCCAAAAAACAAAACTATAAAGAATGCTCTAATCCATAAAGAAGTTTAGTCTATACTGTACACATTCTTTTGTTTTTAGTATTTCTAGAGTCAATGTAGGATTTTTTCATTCATATTTTGTAACTAAACAACAATGGGCTGGGTGCCTCCATAACAGTTTATTAAGCATGCTTACTACACTTTCTACAAAAGGGATAACAGGCCCATGGTGTGGCAGTCCAGGTATGTTTGATGAGTTCCAAATGGGCAGGGGTGAAGGTAGTCCAGTAGGCACTAAGGGCAAGCTGCATAGGAGCGAAGCATAACTCTGCAGAAGGGAAACAAAAGAAACACAGCGCCTCTAAGTGTGTAATGTGAAGGTATTTAATAGAAAGATAAGTAGTAACCAGGGGCGGACTGACCATTTGGAAACTCGGGCACTGCCCGAGGGCCTGGGGTCAGTAGGGGGCCCCATGAGATGCCCCTGGTACCTTTTTCATAGGCTTTTTTGAGTTTGGGCAAGGACACAGGGGACCCATGATCCCCTATTGCCCAGGGGCCCCATGAGTTGTCAGTCCGCCCCTGGTAGTAACTCACATCTTAGATGAGCCTGTTTTTAAATTCCAAGATGTGAGTTACTACTTATCTTTATATTAAATGCCTTCACAGTACACACTTAGAGGCGCTGTGTTTCTTTGTTTCCCTTACTACACTTTCTGCCTGGAAAGCACAGTAGTGTACATGTGCTGACAGATACTGGTTCCTCATGCCAGCAACCTTTAGTGTTCAGGCTGCTTATTCAACAGCACAATAACATTGGGTCTTTGAATTATACAAATAAATACAAAAATTCATCTAAAACTTGCCACATGTTGGTTATTGTTGATAAAAATTGGTTTTTGTTTGTAATATTTAAGTGTACATTTTTTTCTTTTAAAGTTTTTTCAAAGGTAAACTCTGTAAAAATTAAAATTACAAATTTCTTCTTGAGAACTGTAAAAATACCAATGTTCTACCAAAGATTCAGTTTCACCATTAAACATTTTCATGTTTAGGTGCTATGGATCATCACTTGGTCATGCATCAGCTAAGGTGTAATGGTGTGCTGGAGGGCATCAGAATTTGCAGGAAAGGTTTCCCCAGCAGAATCCTCTACGCTGACTTTAAACAACGGTATGGGTCAATTACTCAGCTACAGTATGTGACGCTATATGACAGAAAACACAATGGACATATTTACATTTTCCCTATTTAATAATACAGTTACAAAGTCCTGAATGCAAGTGCCATCCCAGAAGGTCAGTTTATTGACAGCAAGAAGGCTTCCGAGAAGCTTCTTGGATCTATTGATGTTGACCACACGCAATACAAATTTGGGCACACTAAGGTACACTTTCGTATCAGTGTGATTTATAATATTTAACTCCCCAAAAACTATGCACAAGTTTTATATTAGTTTCCATGATTTCTAGGTGTTCTTCAAAGCTGGTCTGCTGGGTACTCTTGAGGAGATGCGAGATGATAAGTTGGCACAACTGATTACTCGTACTCAGGCCATTTGCAGAGGATACCTCATGAGAGTTGAGTTCGGAAAAATGATGGAGAGGAGGTATTTTAATTTCAAAGTTTGTTATAAAACAATAATGAAATGTTCATTCAAATAATGGTTGCATCTGACTTCCAGAGAGTCCATCTTCTGCATCCAGTACAATGTTCGCTCCTTCATGAATGTCAAGCATTGGCCATGGATGAAGCTGTACTTCAAGATCAAGCCTCTGCTGAAGAGCGCTGAATCTGAGAAGGAAATGGCCAACATGAAGGAAGAGTTTGAGAAGACAAAGGAGGCTCTGACTAAGTCAGAGGCCAAGAGGAAGGAGCTTGAAGAGAAGATGGTATCCATCCTGCAAGAGAAGAATGACCTGCAGCTCCAAGTTGCATCTGTAAGTGTTTAACTATTGTAATTACCACATCAGAGTAAACTCATCATAGTACACAATCTATGAATAAGCAATTTATAACTATAATTAAATGTACTTTGCAGGAATCTGAGAACCTTTCAGATGCAGAGGAAAGGTGTGAGGGTCTCATCAAATCCAAGATTCAACTGGAAGCCAAAATCAAGGAGATTAATGAGAGGCTGGAAGATGAAGAGGAATCAAATGCAGAGCTTACCGCAAAGAAGAGGAAACTTGAAGATGAATGTTCTGAGTTAAAAAAGGACATTGATGACCTCGAGTTGACTCTGGCTAAAGTAGAGAAAGAGAAGCATGCCACAGAAAACAAGGTACTGAACCAGTATATGTGACGTGGTACATTGGTGGTGCTGGTACTTGCATACTGAATGTATCCTGTATATCAGCTGCACATTAACTTGTCATTTCTGTACTACATAGGTGAAAAACCTTACTGAAGAAATGGCCGTGCTTGATGAAAACATTGCCAAGCTGACCAAGGAGAAGAAAGCTCTTCAGGAAGCCCATCAACAGACCTTGGATGACCTTCAAGCTGAAGAGGACAAAGTCAACACCCTGACTAAGGCTAAGACCAAGCTGGAACAGCAAGTGGACGATGTGAGCAAATAAAAAAGACAATAAGTAACCAAGTTATGTGTGCTATAATAATAGGGTGGGAAGATATTTATTAATTTAACTTGTATATTGTAGCTGGAGGGATCTCTTGAACAAGAGAAGAAGCTCCGCATGGATATGGAGAGAGCAAAGAGGAAGCTGGAGGGTGACTTGAAGTTGGCTCAGGAGTCCACGATGGACCTGGAAAATGACAAGCAACAGCTGGATGAAAAAGTTAAAAAGTAAAACATTGTGATTGGTAGTTTAGAAATGTAAATCATAGATGAATGGCAAAATCATTTAACTTTATTTCACTTTTGCTTAAACAGGAAGGAGTTTGAAATGAGCCAGCTTCAGAGCAAGATTGAAGATGAACAGGCTTTGGCTTCACAGCTTCAGAAAAAGATTAAGGAACTTCAGGTAACTTGAGGAGCATAATACAAATAGGTTTGTGTTTCTGTTATCATAAATGTGCAAGAAAACAAAAACGTATGTGAACTTTAGGCCCGCATTGAGGAACTTGAAGAAGAAATTGAGGCAGAGCGTGCGGCTCGTGCCAAGGCTGAAAAGCAACGTTCCGACCTCTCCAGGGAGCTTGAAGAGATCAGCGAGCGTCTGGAGGAAGCTGGAGGGGCAACATCTGCTCAGATAGAGATGAACAAGAAACGTGAGGCAGAATTCCAGAAGATGAGGCGTGACCTGGAGGAGGCCACCTTGCAGCATGAAGCCACTGCTGCCACTCTCCGGAAGAAGCATGCTGATAGCGTGGCAGAGTTCGGAGAACAGGTTGACAACCTTCAGAGGGTCAAACAGAAATTGGAAAAGGAGAAGAGTGAGCTGAAGATGGAGATAGACGACCTAGCAAGCAACATGGAGTCTGTCTCTAAAGCAAAAGTGAGTGCAAGCTTGGTTCCTATGTTTTATTTCAGGTATGACATACAGTATATGATATAAAAACTTTGTTAGCAAAGTTTTCTTTTAAGAGACCTCTCCCAGAGACTTTAGCCATGATAAGCAGGTAAGGTAAAATAGTACTGACTCCGTGCTGCAGATGAGTGAATATGTTCTCAATGCTTCTGATTCAAACTGACATTCAGGTTGTTTTTCTCATGGCTGGAAGGCCGCAAGTCCTTAGTCATGCACATACCAACCCGTTTTCCCTCTAGCACAGCGAGGGGCCCAACTGGCACTGTTATGGCCACCAGATGCTTAATTGTTTTCCCTAAAATATAAGATGATATTTGCTTTTCTTATGTGTTCACCACAATTTGAAAGTAAAGAGAGGTATACTTGCTTTCAATCCAACACAACAAACACTTTACTCCTGCGCTAGGAAAGGACTCAGTAGACCCAATAGGAATGTTCTGGAATTTTCTGGAATATGCACTGCTTGCTGCCCTCAACAGACCAGGGTGGTCCGAATACACTGAATACAAATGGAGAAACAGAAAAAGGGTGCACCGACCTAGTGCATTATCGTTTAAAATAATTTATTAAAGAAACAAAAACAGGTATCATACTCACAATGGACATAATAACACAGGCATGTCAAACTGAACAAGATGTATGATCCAAACAACATCTGAGTCCATACGATGGAACCCTGGATGACCAACTGACTAACGCGTTTCGAGGACACAACCTCTTCCTCAGAGAGGACGCGTTTTGAGGACACAACCTCTTCCTCAGAGAGGTTGGCTCTGAGGAAGGGTTGTGTCCTCGAAACGCATTAGCCAGTTGGTCATCCAGGGTTCCATCGTATGGACTCAGATGTTGTTTGGATCATACATCTTCTTCAGTTTGACATGCCTGTGTTATTATGTCCATTGTGAGTATGATACCTGTTTTTGTTTCTTTAATAAATTATTTTAAACGATAATGCACTAAGTTGGTGTGCCCTTTTTCTGTTTCTCCATTTGTATACTTGCTTTCAATAGCACAATTAAACATAAAACTTTTTTTCCCCCACAAATTTATTAAAAATGAACACAATGGATAAAGGAAAGATTCAAGGTGTTTTTCTTGCTTCGTCCATTCATGTTTTCTATTGAATGAATGGATTAATGAATTAGCTACTTTGGCAGGGGGACAGTAAGTAGCATATCAGCCCCCTGACATTCCTGGGCCACCTCTGGGGGGGGGGGGGTATCACTGGTGCAGAATGCCCTAGCACCTAACAGCACAGAACTATCACTCTCAGTAGGATACATTTTCAGTGCATCTCTCTCACTGCTAAATTATTATTATTATTATACAGTATTTATAAAGCGCCAATAGTTCGCTCTCAGCGCTGTACATTACAAAGGGGGACAGAACATGTGACAGAACAATACCAATACAATGCAAAACATGAGGGGATCGAGGGCCCTGCTCTTTCGAGCTTACAATCTAGGAGGGAGGGGATGGTGGCACAGGAGGAGATAGCTGTGGGGGATGGAGTGGTAGGAAGAGTGGAGGAGGTCGGCAAGTTAGCAGGGGGTGGGGTAGGCTTCCCTGAAGAGATGGGTTGGGGCAGGGAGTTCCAGAGGATGCGTGACACCCTGGAGAAGTCCTGGAGGTGGGCATGGGAGGAGGAGACCAGGGAATATATATGGTATATAATGGTATAAATAAATATAAATGGTATATAATGTACCATTATCATGGTAGGGAGCCCACATACTTACTGTCCTCCAGCCAAGAGAACACAAGCCCATGTGACCTTATATGGTATCAAAGGATCTCTCAACACTACATCATTTTTACAGTTATCCACAAAAGGTAAAAAAGAAAAAAAATACTTTTTGTCAATATTAATTTAACCACTTAAAAACTGAGCCAATTCTTACATTTCTCATATACATGTAAAAATCAGCATTTTTTTTCCTGCAAAAAATATTACTTAGAAGCCCCAATTTTTATATATTTCTTATTTAGAGGCCCTGGAGAATAAAATAGTGGTTGTTGCAATTTGAAAGATACTTGTGCAGCCATTTTTCTAAATGCAAATTTTCAGCAGAAACTACATTATTGAATTTTAATGCACACTAACACAAAATAATACCCAAATGTTTGGTAAAATATAAACTACGATGTTATGCTGAGTAAATAGATGCTTAAAGCGGAGCTCCACCCAAAAGGGGAAGTTACGTTTTAAGGACTGCTCCCCCACTCTCCATTAAGGATTGGCACCTTTGGGGGGCGGGGGGAGCGGATACACAAATTTGACAGGTACCTGCTCCCATTTTCGGTCCGATCGCCTAGGTGATCAGAAATGGAAGGTATCCTCCCTCCCTGTAGTCTTTTGGGACACGTGACAGGTCCCAGAAGACTACAGGACCATTCATAAAGTGCAGCGCTACTCGTGCATGCGCAGTGGGTACCCGGCTGTGAAGCCACAAGCTGCACAGCCGGGTACCCACACTGAAGATGCCGGCATCTTGGAATACAGGACGGCCAGTGATACGGGCTGCGGGAGACACACTGCGGGACTGAGGGACAGGTAAGTGGCTGTTTTTTAAAAGTCAGCAGCTACAGTTTTTGTAGCTGCTTACTTTTATTTTTTGCCAGGTGAGTGGAACTCCGCTTTAAAATGTCACACTTTAAAATTACGCACACCCATGGAATGGCAACAAACTACAGTACATTAAATTATCTGTAGATGACGTTTTTACAGATTACCAGTCTAGGATTAGACAGGGGATTTGGTGCTAGAATTATTGCTCTCACTCTGACTTTCATGATTATACCTCACACGTTTGGTGTGATCACTGTTTACAAATGCACGCACGACCTACGTATGCCTTCACATTTAAGTGTGAGCACAGGGGGATAAGGGTTCTTGAAAGTTTTTTTTTAATTTTAATATTTTGTTAAAATCTTTTTTCACTGCCCCTTTAATTTTTTTTAACTTTATTGCTGTCACGAGGGATGAAAAACATCCCTTGTGATAGCATGGGCAGTGACAGGTCCTCTTTACTGAGAAATCAGGGGTCTATTAGACCCAAGATCTCTCCTCTGCCTTCAAAAGCATCTGATGAAACAGAGATCAGTTTGACCAGATGCTTTATAAGCCAGTGGGGCTTGTAGACACAAACTAAAACCAGAAATGACAAAATTCTCATTGATTCCAGTTTCTGACATCACAGAGGAGGGGCATGTATGCATGTACTTGCAGCTGGACAGATTGAGCGCAGCAGTCCTGGGCTCCCCAACCGCACCAGGGTGGTGGGCAGCAGTGGGAGGGGGGCCCCCTCCACGCCCTGTAAATGTGATTGGGTGGCTGTAGAGTCACTTGGATCACTTATACATGAAAGTCCATCACCAGCTGCAAATGTGGATACTGGCACCATGGCTGCAGCTGCAGCCATGATCCTGGAATAACCACTTCAACCCGAGGATGTACTGGTATATCCTAAGGGTGTGAAGTGGTTGAAAACTGGTATGTCTGCTATTAAAAACGTATCAACTAGAATCCCAAATTGCTAGTGAAGCTTCATTTTATTATATATAGTTGCCCTGCACTAAAAATGAATCTGGATTTCCTAACAGGCAAACTTGGAGAAGATGTGCCGAACCCTAGAGGACCAATATTCTGAGATCAAAACAAAAGAGGAAGAACATTTAAGAGTGATTAATGACTTAAATGCCCAAAGAGCTCGTCTTCAAACAGAGACTGGTATTTATCAGCCTTGAAACATTTTTTTGCAATGGTTGTCACGCAGAGAAGCGCCATACCAATTTTATTATTTTTTTATCTCTCCAAACAGGCGAATTCTCTCGCCAGGTGGAAGAAAAAGAATCCTTGGTCTCTCAACTCTCCAGAGGCAAACAGGCTTTCACCCAACAAGTTGAAGAGTTGAAGAGGCAGCTTGAGGAAGAGACAAAGGTACAATATATTCTTCACTGAAAAGAACTCTAATTTGTGAATGTGAATGACACTCACCTTGCTTTGTTATACTTCTATAGGCCAAGAATGCCCTAGCTCATGCGCTTCAGTCTGCTCGCCACGACTGTGACTTGCTCAGGGAGCAATTTGAAGAGGAGCAGGAAGCCAAGGGTGAGCTTCAACGCTCATTGTCCAAGGCCAACAGTGAAGTCTCTCAGTGGAGAACAAAATATGAGACAGATGCCATTCAGCGCACAGAAGAACTTGAAGAAGCCAAGTAAGTGTCCTAGTTCTTTCTAACAATTTTAAATCATATGAATGCTTTTATAAAAATTGTTAAACAAAACTGGCAAGGCTCAATGATTTATAAATGCCAAACTACTGTTTATTATTTAGCATTTTTTATCTTAAGAAAACCACACAATACAACAAGTTGGTATAGATGGTTTACATGTAATTTTCTATTATCTGTGTAACAGGAAGAAACTGGCCCAGCGTCTCCAGGAGGCTGAAGAACAAATTGAGGCAGTCAATTCCAAATGTTCCTCCCTGGATAAGACCAAACAGAGACTTCAAAGTGAAGTGGAGGATCTCATGGTGGATGTAGAACGTTCCAATTCAGCATGTGCAGCTCTGGATAAGAAACAGAAGAACTTTGATAAGGTTTGTCTTTGATATAGATTTGAATGAATCATAGAATGATTCTGACAATGGAACAAATGATTCATATATTAAGAGGCTATTACAACCAGTACTCGGTTTGTAACTAAAAATATGGATCTCAGAAGAACCATGTTCCATTTTTTTTTATTTCATCAGGTGCTGGCTGACTGGAAACAGAAGTATGAGGAGACCCAAGCTGAACTGGAAGCTTCTCAGAAAGAATCCAGATCTCTAAGCACTGAAGTTTTTAAGATGAAGAATTCCTATGAAGAGGCATTAGACCAATTGGAGACCTTCAAGAGAGAAAACAAGAACCTTCAACGTAAGTATATATGTATTTTGTTTTAAGAGCATCATATTTTGTTTCTCTAAATATCTTGTTCACATAATTTCTGAAGTTACATGTTTGTTATTTAATTTTGTGTTTTAAAAATTCTTTCTTCAGAGGAGATTTCAGATCTGACAGAACAGATTGCAGAAGCAGGGAAAACTGTTCATGAGTTGGAAAAGGCCAAAAAACAGGTTGAGCAGGAGAGGTCTGACTTCCAGACAGCTCTTGAAGAAGCTGAGGCATCTCTGGAGCATGAAGAAGCCAAAATTCTGCGCATACAACTTGAACTGACCCAGGTTAAGTCTGAGATTGACAGGAAGATAGCTGAAAAAGATGAAGAGATAGACCAGATTAAGAGGAACAGCCAAAGAGCCCTGGAGTCCATGCAGAGCTCCTTGGATGCTGAGATCAGAAGTAGGAATGATGCATTGAGACTGAAGAAGAAGATGGAGGGAGATCTCAATGAGATGGAAATCCAACTGAGTCATGCCAACCGACAGGCAGCTGAGGCTCAAAAGCAACTTAGAAATGTTCAGGGACAACTCAAGGTACAGTTATTGAAGATTCTAGTTGGTCTGAATTAAATTAAACTATAACGTTTTCCAATGGGCTAACATATCACATTATACCTACTTAGGATGCCCAACTGCATCTTGATGATGCTCTTAGAGGAATTGATGACCTTAAAGAACAGCTGGCTATTTCTGAAAGACGAAGCAACCTCTTGACCGCAGAAATTGAAGAAATGAGGTCTGCCCTGGAACAGACAGAGCGTGCACGTAAGGTGGCTGAGCAAGAGCTACTCGATGTCACAGAGCGTGTCCAACTTCTCCACACCCAGGTGAGGAGGATAGTTTTCTTGGACTTTGTGTTTTACTGTTCATCCACAGTAATGGATGTTATCATTGCTTGTTATTTGTCTTTCAGAACACCAGCCTTATCAACACAAAGAAGAAGCTTGAATCTGATGTCTCACAACTGCAAACTGAAGTGGAAGAAGCCATCCAAGAATGTAGGAATGCAGACGAAAAAGCAAAGAAAGCAATCACTGATGTAAGTCTTACATGACATAAAAATATGCATAACACTTGAAAAGTTAATATTTTGCCTTTGTAATGATAATTTATTAAATACATAGGCTGCCATGATGGCTGAAGAGCTGAAGAAAGAGCAGGACACCAGTGCTCACCTCGAGAGGATGAAGAAGAACCTTGAACAGTCAGTGAAGGACCTTCAACACCGTCTGGATGAGGCTGAGCAGCTGGCCATGAAAGGTGGCAAGAAGCAACTCCAGAAACTGGAGGCCAGAGTAAGTTTTTTTCAAATGATCTGTTTCTGTAAGAACCAATATTTTATTATTGACAGGAGGTCAAAACTGGTAACTTTAACTCAATTTAATGCTACTCTACAGGTGCGTGAGCTGGAAAATGAACTTGATGCTGAACAGAAGAGAAGCTCAGACGCCATCAAAGGTGTGTGCGCAAGTACGAGAGGAGAGTCAAGGAGCTGTCATACCAGGTTTGTAGAATTAATCACCAGATATTGATAAACTAGTAGGAAACTTACAGACTAAAGTATATAACAAAAGAACATACAGCACACTGTTGTACAAAATCTGGTTGGTGGAAAAAGTGATTTTTACAGCACAGTGTTTTTTCCAAATATAAAACTTCAAAGAATCCAGAAGCCAAATAGACTTTGCTGACTGGCTTTCTTACAAAAACTTGGTTAGACTTAGCATGGGGATTAGTTCACCTCCTAAAATGTCTGATTGTCTCTAACATATCACAGTCTGAAGAGGACAAGAAGAACGTGTTTAGGCTCCAAGATTTGGTTGACAAGCTGCAGGTGAAAGTCAAGTCTTACAAGAGACAAGCAGAAGAAGTTGTAAGTATACTGAGACTACTCTATCATTGTTTTGATGCTCACCAATATTTAATAAAAATCATAGAGAAGAAACAAACTCTAAAAGTGACTTATGAATATTTCAGGAGGAACAAGCTACAGTCCATCTGGCCCGATTTAGGAAGACTCAGCATGAGCTGGAGGAGGCAGAGGAACGTGCTGACATTGCAGAGTCTCAGGTCAACAAGCTCAGAGTCAAAAGCCGGGAAATTGGCAAGGTCAGGACTTCATACTTGTGTGTTCTGCTGTGCTCCAGTCATATGTGAATGTGTAGCATTTAAATGCACAGAGCATCTTCACTCTGGTTTTATATGGTCAGTTCTCTGAATTTGTGCAGACTGAGGAATCTTACACAGTCATGAAAGTAACTATAAGAACATACCAATGGAAAATGCTTGGATATTAACATTTATCGGTATTAACATTAGAAATTGTTAATCCTTCTGACTGCCTTCTGGGGATTAGGAAGAAATTTATTTTTCCCCACTGGAACAAATTGGACCACACTTTATAGGGTTTTTTTTCCTTCCTTTGGATCAGCCATGGGTATTGAATTCTGTATATGGAGGTTTTATATTTATTTTATATTTATTTATTATTTTCCATTGGTTGAACTAGATGGACTTATGCCTTTTTTTTTCAACCTGACAAACTATGTAACTATGGGGGAGAATTACTAAAACTGGATCACTCAGGGCAGCACAGTTGCTAAATGGTTAGCACTTCCACTTGGCAGTACTCGGGTCGTTGGTTCGAATCCCAGCCACAGCACCTCCTGCCTGGAGTTTGCATGTTCTCCCTGTGCCTGTGTGAGTTTCCTCCGGGTACTCTGGTTTCCTCTCACACTCTAAAGACATGCTGGTAGGTGAATTGGATCCTGTCTAAATTGTCCCTAGTATGTGTATGTATGAATGTGAGTTAGGGACCTTAGATTGTACGCCCCTTGAGGATTAGGGACTGATGTGAATGCACAATATATATGTAAAGTGCTGCATAAACTGATGGCACTATATAAGTACCTAAAATAAGTAAAATAAATCTGGTGCAGCTCTGCATGGTAGCCAATCAGCTTCTAACTTCAGCTTATTCTAATAAAGTGGAGCTCCCGTCACAATAGAAAAAAAATAAAAACTGGAGTTGCTGACTTTTAAAAAAACAGACACTCATCTGTCCCTCAATCCCATGGTGTCCTCACTGCAGTTGCTTTCACTGACTGTCCTCTTTTCCCGGCGCTGGCATCTTCAGTGTGGGTACCCGGCTGTGACGGCTTGCGGTTTCACAACCAGGCTAGCAGCGCTGCACTTTCTAAATGGTCTTCTGGGACCTGTCATGTGTTCCAGAAGACGATGGAGAGGGAGGAGGACAACTTCCGCTTCCAATCACCTAGGCAATTGCAGCGGAAGTGGGAGTGGGTATCTGTCAAAATCGGGTACCCGTTCTCCCCCTGCTCCCCAAAGATGCCAATCCTTAACTAGGAGCAGGGAAAGAAGCCTTAAAACAGAACTTTCCCCTTTTAGGTGGAGCTCCGCTTTAATCTTTGACAATAAATCCTGCAAGCTTTGCAGAGCTGCACCAGATTTTTCACTCTCCAGTTTTAGTAAATCTCCCCCATGTAACAAATGGTGTAGATTCTAATATGTGCTTTATAATGATGAGTGCCTCAAGACCACCTATTCTAAATATGTACATCCTGATTATTCAGGATGAATGTATCTACACCCCTTTCCTAGTCTAGGAACTTCTAGGCAGATTTGTACACAAGAATCCTCAGGGGTGGGGCTCCATTGCTATTCAGAGCCATACTGAAAATACCAATCTAGCCAACATGGTCCTGGGAAATTTGTATGATTTTAAAATGCCAAAAAATAAAAAAAATGTAAAACAAATTTAAAGGTGATGTCATTAGTCCAAACTGCAACTAATGGTCCCAGTAAAAGGTTGATGTGACTGTATAAGCCAGCTTTTCTCAACCAGGGTTCCATGGAATAACAAAGTTCCTCCAGAGGCTGCTAGGGTTTCCTTGAGCAATTGAACCACTAAAGCCAGTGGTCTTTTTAGCTATCTGGGTATTCTTCCCAATGTCCACAAACATAAGGGGGCACTTGTCCCAGTGGCCATCACGTTAATGTACCATGAGCTATAGATATCACAATGATTGGCAAAGGTTCTCTAAACTAGAAAGTTATATCAAGGGTTCCCCAGTGTGAAAAGGTTTGAGAAAGCCTGGTTTAGGCAATGGGTGCCAAAAAGAAGATATCTAAGCATCTTACATGGGGGTTGGGGTGATCAGAGAGGTTTTGAATGATCATTCATAGACAGGGATGGACTGACAACTCATGGGGCCCCCGGGCAATAGGGGATCATGGGGCCCCTGTGTCCTTGCGCAAACTCAAAAAATCCTATGAAAAAGGTACCAGGGGCATCTCATGGGGCCCCCTACTGACCCCGGGCCCTCGGGCAGTGCCCGAGTTTCCAAATGGTCAGTCCGCCCCTGTTCATAGACCAATGAGCAGGATGGAGGCAGTTGACACAGGAAGCTACAAAACCACAGACTCTGACCACCTTCTGGCCATGCAGATTATCTATCTTTAATGTACAACATCCAACTAATTTATTTTATTTTATCTTTGCAGAAAGCTGAAGAGTGAAGAGATCAAGGAACACTTTGCAGAAGTTCATACAATATGGACTTTTATGTAATTAAAACTGTTCGTATGTAATTAGTACGTGTAGCTCTAGATGCAAATAAAACGTATAAACCAAAAAATCTCCATGTGTTCCATTTATTTTCATTAGTATAGCAACACTGAGGAATGCTGGTGTGATTTATCACAAGGTCTACCTTCACTGGTCACATGCTTGTCCTACAAGATGATAGGGACTCCCAAGAGAAAGCCAAGTAAATGGCATTTTCAGAAGGATAGCGATGACTGCCCTTTATGTCTCAGCTTTTCATTGTACAGTGAGAGTAAATCCAGACATTTAAAGTGATACTATACCCCAGATATATCTGGTCTCCCTGGACCCTGCATTCACTATATCTGGTCTCCCTGGACCCTGCATTCACTATATCCGCTCTCCCTGGACCTGCATTCACTATATCTGGTCTCCCCAGACCCTGCATTCACTATATCTGGTCTCTCTGGACCCTGCATTCACTATATCTGGTCTCCCCAGACCCTGCATTCACTATATCTGGTCTCCCTGGACCCTGCATTCACTATATCCGCTCTCCCTGGACCTGCATTCACTATATCTGGTCTCCCCAGACCCTGCATTCACTATATCTGGTCTCTCTGGACCCTGCATTCACTATATCTGGTCTCCCTGGACCCTGCATTCACTATATCCGATCTCCCCGGACCCTGCATTCACTATATCAGTCTTCGTGGACCCTTCATTCACTATATCAGTCTCCCCGGACCCTGCATTCACTATATCGGTCTCCCTGAACCCTGCAATAACTATATCTGGTCTCCCCAGACCCTGCATTCACTATATCGGTCTCCCTGAACCCTGCATTCACTATATCTGGTCTCCCCGGACCCTGCATTCACTATATCTGGTCTCCCCGGACCCTGCATTCACTATATCGGTCTCCCCGGACCCTGCATTCACTATATCGGTCTCCCTGAACCCTGCATTCACTATATCTGGTCTCCCCGGACCCTGCATTCACTATATCGTTCTCCCTGAACCCTGCATTCACTATATCTGGTCTCCCCGGACCCTGCATTCACTATATCTGGTCTCCCCGTACCCTGCATTCACTATATCTGGTCTCCTCGGACCCTGCATTCACTATATCGGTCTCCCTGGACCCTGCATTCACTATATCGTTCTCCCTGAACCCTGCATTCACTATAGCTGGTCTCCCTGGACCCTGCATTCACTATATCGTTCTCCCTGAACCCTGCATTCACTATAGCTGGTCTCCCCGGACCCTGCATTCACTATATCTGGTCTCTCCGTACCCTGCATTCACTATATCTGGTCTCCTCGGACCCTGCATTCACTATATCGGTCTCCCTGGACCCTGCATTTACTATATCTGGTCTCCCCGGACCCTGCATTAACTATATCTGGTCTCCCCGGACCCTGCATTTACTATATCTGGTCTCCCCGGACCCTGCATTTACTATATCTGATCTCCCTGGACCCCGCATTCACTAATTCTGGTCTCCCCAGACCCTGCATTCACTATATCAGTCTTCGTGGACCCTGCATTCACTATATTAGTCTCCCCGGTCCCTGCATTCACTATATCGGTCTCCCTGGACCCCGCATTCACTATATCGGTCTCCCCGGACCCTGCATTCACTATATCGGTCTCCCCGGACCCTGCATTCACTATATCGGTCTCCCTGAACCCTGCATTCACTATATCTGGTCTCCCCGGACCCTGCATTCACTATATCGGTCTCCCTGAACCCTGCATTCACTATAGCTGGTCTCCCCGGACCCTGCATTCACTATATCTGGTCTCTCCGTACCCTGCATTCACTATATCTGGTCTCCTCGGACCCTGCATTTACTATATCTGGTCTCCCTGGTCCCTGCATTAACTATATCTGGTCTCCCTGGACCCTGCATTTACTATATCTGTTCTCCCTGTTCCCTGAATTTACTATATCTGGTCTCCCCGGACCCTGCATTTACTATATCTGATCTCCCTGGACCCCGCATTCACTATATCTGGTCTCCCCAGACCCTGCATTCACTATATCAGTCTTCGTGGACCCTGCATTCACTATATTAGTCTCCCCGGACCCTGCATTCACTATATCGGTCTCCCTGGACCCCGCATTCACTATATCTGGTCTACCCGGACCCTGCATTCACTATATCGGTCTCCCCGGACCCTGCATTCACTATATCGGTCTCCCTGAACCCTGCATTCACTATATCTGGTCTCCCCGGACCCTGCATTCACTATATCGGTCTCCCTGAACCCTGCATTCACTATATCTGGTCTCCCCGGACCCTGCATTCACTATATCTGGTCTCCCCGTACCCTGCATTCACTATATCTGGTCTCCTCGGACCCTGCATTCACTATATCGGTCTCCCCGGACCCTGCATTTACTATATCTGCTCTCTCCAGACCCTGCATTAACTATATCTGGTCTCCCTGGACCCTGCATTCACTATATCGGTCTCCCTGAACCCTTCATTCAAATATATCTGGTCTCCCCGGACCCTGCATTCACTATATCGGTCTCCCCGGACCCTGCATTCACTATATCTGCTCTCCCTGGACCCTGCATTCACTATATCCGGTCTCCCCGGACCCTGCATTCACTATATCAGTCTCCCTGGACTCTGCATTCACTATATCTTGCCCAGGCCAATTTTCAGCTTTCAGCGCTGTCGCAATTTGATTGACAATTGCGCAGTCATGCAACATTGTAGAGCTTTCTTTTGGTGGTATTTAATCACCACTGAGTTTTTTTATTTTTTGCTAAATAAAACAAAAAACACCTGAAACTTTTGAAAAAAAAAAAGCACTTTTCTTCATTTCTGTTATAAAATTTTGCAAAAAAATAACATTTCTTCATTAATTTAGGTCAAAATGTATTCTTTAAAAAAATTTAATTCAATCAATAAAGTGTTCACACAGTGAACCCTACTTTGGATAACAAAAAATATGTGCATCTATCAACAATTCCCATGGAAAGACATCCTCCACCATATATCACATTATACAATGTTACGGTCTAACTGCACTTTTGGTCCCATTTGGACTCAGAAGATCAGCTTGCTGAATGAGGACTCCAAAGTGAGCTCCCTCCTGATAAGCGTCTTTGTATCAGCCGTATTCCTCATTAAAAAGAATTCAACAGAGTGCTTTATCCTTTTATTCAGCAATTAAAACACATGAAATACTCTCACGTTCCGGAGGTCTATTTTCACCAGGTTTGATGAAGATCTAGTGATATACTGATTAAACACTAGATGGCAGTATCATCTCAGCAGCACATGCTCAAAACAGACCCCATCCATAATGTAATGCAAGGCAAAGCGATTGTAGAATACTACAAGCCGCTATCCCGATGAATGGCGTGTGATGTCATCCACACACTCCTATCCGACGCGTTTCGGCACTAGTCTTGTGACTTTATCAAGGGGATATATCCCCTTAGTGCTTGTTTACATTTGCTTTGTCCTTTGAAGAGCGATCCAGAGTGGATTACATTTCAGGGGCTGTTTGACAGTTGACTGTGAGACAAAATGCTGCCTTCTCACTGCCTGTTTTAATTCTGTAAATCTAGAACCACCACAGGGTGGGTGCAGTGAGCCCCTATTACATGAATGGGTCACATATATTGGTGGTACTGTTCACTGAATGTGACAGGGGTAAATAATGTTTGCTGTGGTCATTGGTGTACACAACCCCGTTCGGCCATTGTGTTCCGTTAAAGAGGGCAGTATAACCATGGCTCAACTGCTTGTTCCCCTTCGTCCCCTCCCCCCCTGCTGCAAGTGTAAACTAGGTCTTACTGAGATCTCCCGACATTATGTATACAGGAATGGTGGGATCCCCTCATAATGGATGCAGTAGAGGTACAGACTTAGGAACTCAGCACAGGGATGGTGGGAACCCCTCATAATGGGCACAGCAGGTGTACAGACCTGGGAACTGAGCACAGGGATGGTGGGAACCCCTTATAATGGGCACAGCAGGTGTACAGACCCGGGAACTCACCACAGGGATGGTGGGGAAACCCTCACAATGGGCACAGCAGGTGTAAAGACCCGGGAACTCAGCACAGGGATGGTGGGAAACCCTCACAATGGGCTCAGCAGGTGTAAAGACCCAGAAAATCAGCACAGGGATGGTGGGAAGCCCTCACAATGGGCACAGCAGGTGTACAGACCCAGAAACTAAGCACAGGGATGGTGGGAACCCCTCATAAAGGGCACAGTGGTGTACAGACCCGGGAACTCAGGACAGGGATGGTGGGAACTCCTCATAATGGGCACAGCAGGTATACAGACCCGGGAACTCAGTACAGGAATGGTGGGAACTCCTCATAATGGGCACAGTGGGTGTACCGACCCGGGAACTCAGTACAGGGATGGTGGGATCCCCTCATAATGGGCACAGCGGGTGTGCAGACCTGGGAACTCAGCACAGGGATGGTGGGAACTCCTCATATTGGGCACAGAAGGTGTGCACCAAATACATCCTGACAGATGGAAAAAGCAGTTGAATTGTTGAACTCTCCATCATCTACCAAATACCAGTTCTGGGTGGACTGACCCTATAAATGCTTAAGCATGCTTTACAGCTAAGTACATTCTTTCCTTAGTAGCTCCAGTGTGGCCCCGTGTAAAATATATCCATACAGGCTGGCTCTGGGCTTCAGTGGAGATGCCGTTGGTGCTACAATGAGTGAAGAGCAGTAGATGGCAGCAGAGCCACACAGCAAGTCAGCCCTGTTGGGGGGGGGGGGGGGGACAAGTATGAGTGTGTTTGTATGGGTGTATATATATATATATATATATACATATGTGTCAGTCTCAGTATTGTTATATAAAAATTCTTCTTTTCCTCTGAATATTGAACCTATCACCTAAGAATACTGATCTACTACCACTATCTACTAAAAGAGCCTCAAGACACAATTCTTATCATTGATAAAGT